ATACTATACTATATATATATATATATATATATAATATATATATATATATATATATATATATATATATATATATATATATATATATATATATATATATATATATATATATATATATATATATATATATACATATATATATATATATATATATATATATATAAATAACTTATAGTTGCTAGTATACGTTTTGCAGCTGCTGACATACTTTCCCCCATCCAAAACACTGCGCTCTAGTACCAACTCCTGGGCCTGAGCAAGCATCAGGGATGTTATGACATTGAGTATAGGCCGTGCCATGTCCGACGTCGGTGCATTGCCAAACTGTTCGCCAAGAGTTTTGAAGCAACCAGCGGCACTCTGGAGGTATGCACACACCGCCTTGAGCGTGTGTTGTTCTACAAGGGGTGCAAGTATTGCATAAAAAAATTGCGTTTGTGTGTGCGTTAAAGGGCGGGCGTTGAATAAAATTTGGTCGAGAGCGCAACTTGTGAAAGATGAATTAACCAGACAAAATGGGTTTCCACCAACTAAGAACGGCCATGCACCACCAACCATAGAATCAAGAAAGAGCTCTCAATCTGTCAATCCTCACTATGTCCGGACCTGGTGAGTTTTCCCGTATTGAGTCAAATTAAGCCGCAGGCTCCACTCCTGGTGGTGCCCTTCCGTCAATTCCTTTAATTTTCAGCCTTGCACTGTAGAAACTATACCCTAGTAGTAACGCTTACCTCCTCGCGCAGTAGCCCCCGCCAGAGCAGACTGGCACGCACCGTAGTTGAAGAGTACACTGGCCTTCTCATAAGCAATCGCACTCTGTGACACTACAGTCTCCAAGAATGCGTCAGACCTAAATACGCAGAAAACGTGATGAGTGATAAGATATGAACGGTGATGGATGAAGCCAGAGTGGTGGAAGGCATCTACATAGGATCACCATCTACTAGCACGAATACCACCTTACAAAAGTGCATTGCAATGCTCGGCGCCGTGTAAAGTACTTCATAACTGCAACGCAGAACGGAGAGTGGCTGTTTTGCAATTGAATCAGACTCGTAAAGAGTATAGAATGTATCTTGAAATGCAGCAGCAAGTGTTTACCAAAGCAATGAATAGGTACTGCCTACTCACCAAGCGAAGCCATGGGGACTGGACTCATCCAATTGAAACTTGAGTCCCATATAACCCAATTGTCCATAGTATCTCCGCAATTCTAACGGCAGGTCTTCCGTAATAGTTTCGGGAGACACAACGCTCTACAAACAAGGCCGAATGGACAGAAGTTTGAGCACTGAAGTACATCCTTAAAAGGGCATCCAAGTGGTTTCGAGAAAACACCCAAAAAATCGTTCAAGTGTACCAAAAATATGTCGGCACAATACAAAAAAAATACAAAGGACTCTATGAGATAAAAGACTATATGAGATGCGCATATACATTGTCATGTAATACTAAAGCAGAAAATACTTTGATTGTGTAAAGGGGTGAGAATTACAAGCTATGCCAATGCGAGGGTATAGGTACAACTTCAGTCAACGAAATATGAACATATGCCAGGTGAATGCGTGCAAAGTATTTGGCAGAATCTGTATCATTGTAACGAGTTCTGGTGCATAGTCGTTGACTTGCACCACATGCGGATAGGCAAAAAAGCCACAAACAGGAATAAATTGCCTAGACACCACATTGACAAGCCTGCTTGCACTGCCAGCACGTACGAAAAGAACTACATGATACAAGTAGATACTTCAAATAAAAATGTTGTCACAAATAAGGATTAGCTACAATTGGAGAACATAGTGACTTCGTTATTCTAAGAGATCCGCATCGCTAGGACATTAAACTGCGTGGAGTGAGAAAAATTCAAGTTTTCATTGTTATTTGAACAGACGTTGCGAGTGCTCAACTGGCATCACTTATAGTTAGAGCAATTCTGCCAGATAGCAAATGTTTGCAGTTTTTGTGCAACTATTATCATCAAGTAGAACCTGGTCCTATAATACGCGAATATTCACACAGCAAGACACCAAGGAATTGGAGAAAATCCAAAAACACTACCTGTCTCAGAAGATTGATTTTGTGGAAGTTGTCCAAAAACTCTTTCGGATCTTGCTGGTAGTCGCGGATTATCAACGGAGACAAGATGGCCTGAAAGTCAATCTGGAATCGGAAATAGACATTTAAGTACTGCAAAATATATTGTGCAACCTTTTCTGTTGTTTAGGAAACAACTGTGTCACACGTACTGGTACTTACAAACAAAACATATCAACCCAAATGCGGACAATGTCAAACACCGTAACACTTGAACTAGACTAAAGAATATTATTGCTCATGAACGAATCCGCAAACCAGATCGTAAGTTATAAATTCGCGTGAACGGCATTTTACATGCCAGAAAGCAAAGAAATATACTATGTACAAATATATATAACGACGTGAACACAAAGGAACAGCTAAGTCAGAAAACAGCTGCTTAAATACTATAACTTATTCGACTATGCATTTATGATATCTATAAGAAGACATACATATGTACAGCGGTATTAAAAAACTATACACCCATAAACACTCACGCACACACACAAACAAACGGGTATGTAGGAATACTTATAATAATAATAACATTAATAATAATAATAATAACAATAATAATACTAATAATAATAAGAATAATAATAATATTTAGTATTATATACATAGATATATAGATATATATATATATATATATACATATACATAAATATATACTCACACACAGGCACAGACACAGACACAGACACAGAC